AGGAGGTTTAGATTTCCTTTTGTGTGAAATTCATAGCAGCTGTAAAATAATTTTGAAAGATACTCAATGGTGATGTCCATTTATTATTTCCAGATGAAGTGAGAAGTTGATCATTTATTCAGTTTATTGTTGGGAGAAAAGGCATCTAGTACCTAACACCACTTTTTTTACTTTTTACTTTTTTCTTTCTTTCTTGCCTGCTTGCATTCTTTCTTTCTCTCTTCCTTTCTTTTTTTGATAGGATTTTTGCCATATAGCCCAGGCTGGCCTTGAATTTGAACTTGTATCAGTCCTCCTGCCTCAGTCATTCTCCTGAGTCCCGCCCACCTACCATAACTGACTTCTGTCCTCCCTACCTTTCAGTACCTTTCCAGTCTGGGTGCTTTCCTCACTTTCTGTCCTTGGCCTGACTCCCTTTCTAATCTGCCAAGTTTTCCTGAAAGCATAGTTGGCTGAATGCTCACGTTCTGGCCACGGCCCTGTTGTCCCCACACTAGCGCTGTGACAGGGAGACCGATGGCTTAGCAATTAGTCGTATTTGCTGCATTTGACCCAGCTAACATTCTACTCAGAACTTCCATTCCTGCACGATAGTCTTGGGGTTTTTATATGTATGTGTATGGTGGGGTATGCTGTCCATGTATATCCACATGTGTGTAAGTGCACGTGTGTGTGCACGTGCCCAAAGTTGATGTCCAGTATCTTCCTTCACTCTACACTTTACTGAGGCAGCATCTCTCAATGAAGCTGGAATGCACTGAGTCCAGCTTGTTTAGCTAGCTGTCTTCCCCTGGTAATCCTGTGTCTGCCTCCAGAGTCCTGAGATTATGGTGCCCTGCCCCTCTCCAGTGGCCATGTGGCTTTTATTTGGTTCCAGAATCTGAACACTGGTCTTCTCAACTGCACAGCAGAGCAAACACTCACCCACTGAAACATCTCCCCAGCCCACCACTTAAGAGTCCGTCACTACTTTGCTAGCAGTAAGACTTGCTGGGTTTGTTTCATTCATTCATTAAAAATATAAATGGAGTGAGTGCCACTTCTTCACAAGGCTAGTCTCTGAGGTTGTCAGTGAACAAGATAGTTATGGTCCCTGCTGTCTTGCAATTTAAGTTTAGATAAGAAGCAGCCATTCATTCATTTAATTCAGTAAATATAATGAAAATTATTTCATCTTAATTGTATCTTGTATTTTAAAGAAAAGGTGGTGTCTCTTTGCTGGGAATTATTTCTGGAAACACTACTTCTTCTTAAGCATATGTAAAGGGATTGCAGTGTTTACATGTGGCCTGTGTATATTCTTGTATATACTTTAAATATTTAAAACATTTATTTGTGTGTAAGCACATGTGGTGGTCAGAGGTCAACTTTGTGGGTTTATTTTCTTCCACTTTTACATGTGTCCTAATGATTGATGTTGACAGCATCTGTCGCTGAGCCATCTCGCTGCTGACCTCCCCCTGTGTGCTCACGACGTATTGATACAGCCGAGACACTTTAGATGTCGTGTAGGGATTAATAGGCAGTTCTGCACACGTTCAGCACAGGCACTTTTGTTTAAGTTGTAGATATTTTTCAGTCTATGGTTGGCTAAATCCATGAGTGCAGATCTCCCAGATTCAGAGGCTGGTGGCCCAGGGGGCTGGGACGGCCGAGGTCTGCCACACTGGGACCCAGGGCTCAGGACTAGTCAGGGAGAGGCCCTTGAGGGGGAAACAGCCAGTGGAGGACTGAATTGGCCATGTGCAGGAATTCAGTTGGGAGCAGGGCAGGGAGTGAGAGGGCATTCCATTGCTTGCTGCTGTCTCTTACAGCAGTGTCAGCCGCTGTGGCAACTGAAGAGTGAGATTCTGCTCTTATCTCTTACCACTGTGATGGACCTTTTGATGAAGACGGTCCCTGTTCTTATCCCTCAGGGATGGTTTTACAGTTTCTGTTGGTAAAGTTGTTAGTACATATTCATGAGAGGATAACTACTAGTATAAGTGAAGTGTCAGGTGCGTGGCAAAGGTACATAATACTGGCTTTTAGAGAAGGGCGCTGTTGTGTGGACACAGAGAGGTTATGGAGGACCTGGGAGATTGGAAGACTTGAATTAAAGCAAGAGTCTCGGAAGCCAGAAAAGGAACTAGACCTTTCCAGTGAAGGGAGAGAACACAGGCAAGGAGGTAGGAACTGAGACTCACTGAGGACCAGCGTGCTGTGGCGAGTAGCTCTCTAGGCTGGACGTTCTGTTCTCCTGGGTCCTGAGTCATGTAACAAACAGAAAGTGTAGGAAGGCCCTGGGAATACCCTGACTATCCTGCCTAGACACTGGGACTCTATCTGGGGAGAGGCCGTGTGGAGCATTATTTTAGAATTGTTCTGGAAATGACTTCAAAACTAGGCACCAAGACATATGTCTGATTGCTTGAGTTCAGGGAATACAGGGCATGACCTGTGTGGCAGTGAGAGACTCACAGTGACTATGTGAGCAAGCACTTGTGTAAGGTCCTGCTAGGAGTTGGAGAGAGGAGAGGAGGAGAAGGGGTGGGTTAGGAGGAGGAGTCAGGGCCCCTCCTGTCCCTATCTAGCCAACTACCTGACAGGCTCAATCCCGGTTAAACCCAGTTTGTTTTCCTACAGTAGCACTAGAGCAGTGGTCTCAGCCTGTGGACCTCGACCCCTTTAGGGGTCGACCAGCTCTTTCACAGGGGTTGCCTAAAGCCATCGGAAAACACAGATGTTTACATTATGACTCATAAAGAAGCATAATTACAGTTATGAAGTAGCAATGAGAATACTGTTCTGGTTGGGGTCACCACAGCATGAGGAGCTGTACTAAAGGATCGCAGTGTTAGGAAGGTTGAGAACTGCCCTAGAGCTAAGTAAGAATGCTGTTTGAGGGGAGGGGTTGTTGAGTTGTTTGTTTGGTTCATGGTGAGGGGGTGGTTCAAGATAGAGTTTCTCTGTGTAGCCTTGGCTGTCCTAGAACTCACTCTGTAAATCAGGTTGGCCTCTAACTCAGAGGTCCACTCGCCTTTGCCTCCCAAATGCTAGGATCACATGTGTGCACCACCACGCTTGGCTAATTTTTAATTTCTTACGTGTATGTGTATGAGCATCTGCTGAGGGCAGAGGCTTCGGAGTCCAGGAGTGCCAGGACCTGACCACAGTTCATCTGCAAGAGCAGAACGTGCTCTTTTTTTTTTTTTTTTTTTTTTTTTTGGTTTTTCGAGACAGGGTTTCTCTGTGTAGCCCTGGCTGTCCTGGAACTCACTCTGTAGACCAGGCTAGCCTCGAACTCTCAAACTCAGAAATCCGCCTGCTTCTGCCTCCCAAGTGGTGGGATTAAAGGCGTGCGCCACCACTGCCTGGCCAGAACGTGCTCTTAACCACGGAGAATCTGTTCAGCTCCTGAGAGTGGTTTTTATTTGTTGTTTTCTGTAAGGATTGAACCCAAGCCCTCAAGCATAGTAGACAAACACTGAGCCGCAACTCAGGCCTCAAATTGTACATTTTTAAAGAAAAGCTTTCAGGTAACCCAGACTGGTTCCAAGCTTTCCATGTAGCCATGATGACGGAATGACTCTGTATTTCTTATTTTATTTTTGAGGTAGGATCTCACTGTATAGCCCTGACTGGCCTGGAACTCTTCACCAGACTGACATCAAACTAGAAACCATCTGCTTCTGCCTCCCAAGCGCTGGGTTTAGGGTGTGTGTAACCACACCTGGCCAGCCTTGAACTTTTGATCTGAAGTGCCAAGATTGCTGACACACCCAGTTTATGTATGTCTTATTGAGGATAGAACCCAGGGCTTCCTGCATGCTGGGAAAGCCCTCTACTCACTGAGCTGTACCTCGGCCCAGTTCTCGAATTTTTATCGCTTTTTAAAAAATCAAATAACATTTCATAACATAAAAGTTATATGAAATTCAAACTTCAGTGTCTATTTATGGGCATTCATGTGTTTGGGACATGGCACTGTTTGGTCATTTGCCTGTGACTACTTTAACATGGATGGCAAGGTTTGTGTAGTGACAGGAACCATAAAAACCAAAATATGCTCTCTTTGACACTTGAAAGGAAACTGTTCACCCTTACCATCACCCATTCTTTGATCAGCCACCCTTTCTGAGACAGAGTGGCCATCCCATCCCTGAGGCTTTGTCCCTCCAGCCAGGCTTTAGTTTGTTATCTCTGTGCCAAGAGCAAACTCAGGGTTCCCGTCATGTCTGCATGTCTGTCTGTCTGTCTGTCTATCTGTCTTTCTCTCTCATCCTCTCCCTCTCTCTCTCCCTCTCTCTCTCTCTCTCTCTTCCTCTTTCTTTTTTCCTTTTTGTGGTAAGGGTGGTGGGTAAGACAGGTTCTTTTTGTCTAGCCCTGAACTCCCTCTGTAGAACAGGCTGGCCTCGAATTCACAGAGATCCACCTGTCTCTGCCTGGGATTAAAGGTGTATTTCACCACTACCTGGAAAATTATTCCTAATTCTTACAACAACTCTTATTTTATTTATTTATTTATTTATTTATTTATTTATTTATTAAAAAATCATTTGTATTATTTTTAGTTGCTATGTGTGAATATATGCAGGCAAGTGCAGGTGCCTGTGGAGTCCAGAGATGGCAGACCACCCTGGAGCTGGAGTTATAAGCAGTTGTGAGCTGCCTGATTTGATTCAGAGAATGGAACTCAGGTCCTCAGCAAAGCAGTTTGTCCTCTTAACTGTGCCATCCCTCCAGCTGCCTACAACAGCTTTTATAAAGATAGACTTAGGGCTGGGGTTGTAGCTCAGCCAAGTGCTTGCCAGAGTTCACTCCTCAGCACTGCATAGAAACCTAGCAGTGGTGATACATGGGAGTAAGCACTCAGAGGGTGGAGACAGGAGGCTCAGAGGTTAAAGGCTACAGGTTTGCTGTCAGCTTGTGCCTCATGAGACCCTGTCCCAGGATGGAGAGGTGAGACTCTGGGCAGTTGTTTTTCCGCTACTGATGAGGTGTCTCCTGTTCTCTGTCAGGTAAAGCGGTACCAGTGCACCTTTGAGGGATGCCCTCGCACCTACAGCACAGCGGGCAACCTCCGCACCCACCAGAAGACTCACCGAGGAGAGTACACCTTCGTCTGTAATCAGGAGGGCTGTGGCAAGGCCTTCCTCACCTCCTACAGCCTCAGGATCCATGTGCGAGTGCACACAAAGGAGAAGCCATTCGAGTGTGACGTGCAGGGGTGTGAGAAGGCATTCAACACACTGTACAGGTCAGCCTCTCTGTACATACTGTACAGGTCAGCCTCCCCATACACACTGTACAGGTCAGCCTCCCCAAGGCCCTGCCAGCCTCCTGACTCTGAGCTCGGTGCCGTAGAACTCTGTCCTTGCATATGGCAGCTTTTGGAACTTTGAAGAGCATAGTTGTACTCACCTGCTTAAAATACAGTCAGTGAAGTGCAGTGTAAAGTGTACTACTTAAGACAGTATACCATGGGCTGGGTGGAAATGTTGGCACAGATGTGTAGATTTGCGTTTCAAGGAGTGACATCGTCCTCTTGGGATTTTAGCGGTTGAGTAAAGTAGTCTTCCCATTGGCACAAGGTTAGGTTGGCACAAACCTCTGAGATAACCCTCTATACGAGAGGTGGGAAGGTGCCCATTTGATGGCTATGTCTTTTTCCACGTTTGTGTCAGGAGATTTACACAAATCTTTAATATTAGGTACAAAATAGCAAAATAACACACACCATTCTAAAAGTGCCTGCTCTTGTTCGGTGCTGGAAGCCAAGCAGATTTGGGCCTGGTTAATGCTTGGCGAGACAAATACCAATGGTGAACACTGATGCGTGCACTGTGCAAAGGCATAATTCTAAGTGTTGATCCCAGAACTGCGGCTAAGTAAAGAAAGTAAAGAAGTAGATGTACGGTCCTGGCTAGTAGTTCAGGGCCAGGACTTTAACCCAAAGGAGTCTGTCTCTGGTTACTGCTCATTTTTATTTCTCTTTTGGTAAGTTTTGGATGCTAATGTACTCGGATACAGCATTCTGGGACACTTGATCCTACTGTGATAGCTGACACTGGGAGGCTCTGTGATACATTCTGTAAGGAGCATTTCTCTGGGACATTTTGCAGGTTGAAAGCACATCAGAGGCTTCACACAGGGAAAACGTTTAACTGTGAATCTCAAGGCTGCAGCAAATACTTCACCACACTCAGTGATCTGCGGAAGCACATTCGAACCCATACAGGAGAAAAGCCATTTCGGTAGGTCTTGCTGGTTTCTATCTGTCACTGGGCAGGTCTCCTCTGGGGACCTTGGTATAGGCTCTAGGAAGTTTTCACAGTAGGAAGAAAACTCCTTTACCTGTTTCCTTATCTGGTGGTGTCAGCTTGGCACAGGGGAGCTCTGACCAACTGCTGTGGGTCGGAGGAGTGCGGACAGACTTGAGTGTCTTCCCTGGGTTATGGCCGTTCTGCCTCAGCTGATCCTGAGTCAAGGGCTGGGCATGTAGCCTGGGCTACAGAGTAAGATTCTATGTCAACATCCTTTCCCCCTAAGCAAAACAAAACATCCTTAGTTCAATGGGGAAGAGCTGCAAAGTTATAGACAGTGTCTCATGCTGCCAGCCAGTGTGCCTGGAGCATCAAAAAGGGGAGGCCTACTAAGGACGGGGGATTGAGTTGTATCTGAGCATGCTCGTGAGGGGAGGGGAGGGTGGAGGCTTAGCTCAGGGGTCTGCACGCTCCACTCCTACGTACTTGCTGCTGCTGTTAGTATCTCATGTTTGTGCACATACAGGACCACATGCTTTTTGTATAGCTATGTCAAAATCCATATTTTTTACATTTTATTTTTATAAGTATGTATCTGTGTGAGTACATGTCTTCTGGGTACTGATACTCCCAAGGCCAGAAGAGAACATCAGATCTTCTGGAGCTGAACTAAACTCAGGTCCTCTACAAGGGCAGTCAGTGTTCATCTCCCCAGCCCCATCCTCCACGGAGACAAATCTACTTCTATTAAGTGGATTTATAAATCTAATTTCTATAAAGCTAAGCACCGAGGATTATAGCTAGTTCTTGACTACAGAAAGCATGAGGTGGCTGGTTACAGGCACTCAGTAAGTCTTCAGAAGCAGCCTCAGATGGTTATATGACGTTTTTATGGGGTAATCAGTCTGTAAGCCTCCATATAAGTGGGTTGTAAGTATTGCTGAAAACATCCCATAAACAATGTCCCTGAATTCTAATAGGGTACAGCATCAAGCACGCCACTTTTTCATTTTGAAGTCATTTGCCCTCTTTAGCATATTTAGGGGAGTTGAAAAGTCTTCAGGAGCAGCTAGCTCTTAGATACCAATTAAATGAAACAGGATTTTAAATTACAGATACATTCTTGAGTGTCTTGGCCCCTTTAAGAACAAAAGGTTAAAGGCCAGTTAGTTACTCTACAGATGCTTAAGCACCACACCCCCCCCACCACCACCGCTGCCATCAGGTTGCTAGGGGACTCATTTCTATATACATATGTATTGTATGTATTTAATTTTGTGATGATTAACATAGTTTTCTCTTAAATATTAGAGGGGACCTAGACAGATACAGTGATGCTTATATGTGAGTAAAATTAAAAAGCTTTAAGAAACTTTCTCTTTAAAGAAATAGGGTATTTAGATATATAAGAAAATCTATTGGTCATATATTTAAGTTCTTGCTGTGTAGAAACTAAAGCAATGTTCAGAATTACACAAACCCTGCCCTTGAGAAAGCAGATTAAAAAAACCCAGCACACATCTGGTATGGTTGTACAACACCTTTAATCTTAGCACTGGGGACACAGAAGCAGGCAGATCTGTGAGTCCCAGACTAACCAGGGCTACATAATGAGACCCTGTCTCAAGCAACAAACACACGCATGCATGCATGCACACACATACAACCTCTCCCAAAATGTACACAGAGATGAAATAAAATTGGAAGTGAGAGATGCCTCAAAGGAAGCATGTGATGGCTCCATCACATCAGTCCTGAGGAGGTGAAGGTTGTCTCTGGCTTTGATTATTAAGAAAACATCAGGGGCTGGGAGTGTAACTCGCCCAACATTCACAACACCCTTATCTTAAGCCTGAGCACCTCATAAGCCTGGCATAGGGTTCATGCCTATAATCCTAGCTGCAGAGTGAGCTGAAGGCAGCCTGAGGGATGTGAGAGCTTCCCTGTATGGGGTGGGGCTAGCTGCATGCTGTGGATTATGACTAGTTCTGGACCGCAGCTACACCAGCGCTCTCACTGGGTTCATGTCCTTCTGCTGTTTTCCCCAGCTCACTTTTTTTCTCTGTTTTGAGGCAAGGTTCATTTGTAGCATAGTTCAGGCCAGGCTATCTGTGGACTTGTAAGCCTCTTCCTGGCTCAGGACCCTCTTGGTTGCTAGGGCTGTGGATACATGTCTACAGGTCCAGCTCTCACTACCCAGCCTTGATGTCCGTTGTAATTCAGAGGCGGTAGTTTTCCACATAGGCTCTCACTGTCAGCGTAGTTCTGCTCAGCGATTAATCAGATCTTTATCGTTAGGATGCTCTGTACACTTGCCTTACCTACAGGCCAGAAGATACCTGTCCTGGACTCTCAGCTCCATACACTGATTCAGTCACATATGCTACCTTCCCCGTCCCTTGTCTGTTACATTTATTTATTTAGTGTGTGTATTTGTGTCACAGTACACCTGTAGCAGTCAGATGACAACTTGCTAGAGCCGTTTCTCTCCTGTCATGAGGTTTCCAGGGATCGAACCTAAGACATCAGGCTTGGTGGCAAGCACCTCTACCTGGCCCAAGCCATCTTGCCGCCTCCCATGTTTTGTTTTTTGGGGTTTTTGTTTTTGTTTTTTTTCCAAGTCTTCTCATTGCCATCTCTAAGACCACTATGACTAATCTGATCTTAGTGTTCCAGACCGTGGTCTAGCTTGCACGCTCAAGAAGTTCAGGGTGAAGTTCTCTTATCTACTGACTGGTTTGTCTTTGCTTAAACAACTCGTTTAGATGTGATCACGACGGCTGTGGAAAAGCGTTTGCAGCAAGCCACCACCTTAAAACTCACGTCCGTACGCACACTGGTAAGTTTAGGCTGATTTCCATGTTCTGTTCTCTTCTGTTCTCTCTCTCTTTCTCTCTCTCTCTCTCTCTCTCTCTCTCTTTCTTTCTCTCTCTCTCTCTTGTATTTTTTATTTGTTTCTTTGATTTTTTTTTTTTTTTCAAGACAGAGTTTCTCTTTGTAGCCCTGGCTCTCCTGAAACTACTTTGGTAGACCAGGTTAGCCTAGACCTGAAGAGATCCACCTGTCTCTGCCTTCCCAGGGCTAGGATTAAAGGTATGAGCCATTGTGCCCAACCCAATCTCTGTTTTCCCTTTAAACCTTCAGCAGCCCTTTATCCAGGTTCCTCTTGAGACCTGTAAAACTAGGAGAGCCAGTGAGCGTAGGCAGCGGGGCCCTTCACCTACAATCCTGTGCTTTTCATGATTGACTGAGTCAAGAAATTCAGCCTTAAGACATGAAACTAGGCATACCCTTTAGAAACAGCCTTGAGGAAGCCAGTGGCCTTCCCTCCAGGCACAGGCTCCTGCTGCTGCTGCTGCTCCTGCTGCTGCTGCTCCTGCTGCTGCTGCTCCTGCTGTTCCTGCTGCGCTTTCCTTGGCTCTGGGTGTTTGTTTTGTTGTTGTTTGTTTTTTGTTTATGTTTGTTTGTTTTTGTTTTTTGAGACAGGGTTTCTCTGTGTAGCCCTGGCTGTCCTGGAACTCACTCTGTAGACCAGGCTGGTCTCGAACTCAGAAATCCTCCTGCCGCTGCCTCCCAAGTGCTGGGATCAAAGGTGTGCGCCACCACTGCCCAGCTGGCTCTGGGTTTTAAGACTGAGAAAGTCAGCACCTTCCCTTGCTCAGACTTTCCCGCCATTAGAAGGGGTGAGCTTTCCTGGTGGTGAAACTAACATGGCTTCTTCTTCGTTCCTACAGGCGAAAGACCCTTCTTCTGCCCCAGTAACGGCTGTGAGAAGACATTTAGCACTCAGTACAGTCTCAAAAGTCACATGAAAGGTCACGATAACAAAGGCACCACATACAGTACACTTCCACAGCACAACGGATCAGAGGTGCGTTCTTCTCCTGTTCTCTACTGGGCCCTGGCCGAGCGATTGTGTACAGCTGCTATGTCCTTGCTTAACTAGAGGCCAAAGAAACAGGATCAGCATCTCTGTGTCTCTGCAGTGGGAGGCTGGAAGCCAAAAGCCCCCAGTCTCCCTGTTCCTCTACTTAGCCCTGCTGGATTTCCATCCAGCAGGTATGGGGGTGAACAGGCTGTTGACTGGCTTTCCAGGGCCCAGACAGAGCCTCTTCTACCCCAATGTGTGTGTGTGTGTGTGTGTGTGTGTGTGTGTGTATTCATGTGTGTATTCGTATGTGTAAGGGTACATATTAGAGAGCACATGCCTGTGGCACCTGCTTGAAATCCGAAGATGTCCTTAAGTGTTGTTCCCCAGCCACTGTCTGTCCCACTCTTTTTATTCTTTTACGACAGTCTCTCATATGGGCATGGAACTCACGAAGCAGGCTAGGCTGACTACCCAGAGAGCCTCAGGGGTCCTCAATGTGTGTCTCCCCAGTGTACAGATCACAAGTATGCACCACACCCCAGCTTTTTCTTTTTAAACGTAGATTTTGGGGCTTGAAGTCTACTGACCTAGCTAGCACCCCAGCCCCAGTGGTTCTGAGTTTTCTTTTGAGACAGAGATCTCATCAGCACACTATAGCTCTCTTGCTGTAGTCCTTCAAGTGCTGGGTTGCGGACATGAGGCTCCATGGCTGGCTCAGAACTCCTGGGGTTTTTGTTTTTTGTTTTTTTGAGACAGAGTTCTTCTGTGTAATCCTGGCTGTCCTGGAACTGTCTCTGCAGACCAGACTAGTCTTGAACTCAAGAGATCTACCTGTGTCTATCTCCTGAGTGCCGGGATTAAAGGTGCACCACCATGTCCAGCTTTTGGAACTCATATGATTGTGTCATGTTCCCATCTGTGACAGCGGCGGGTGATAAGCCTGCACTACATTTGCAGTGGAAGCTAATATTGCCTCACACATCCGTCAACATCAGAGCACCAAGCTTTGTCTGCAGGGCTCCCTTGCCTCTTGAATTGTCTGCAAAGCAAAAGGTTTAAGAGCACCTGCTTTAAGACACTAAGCCACACAGAAGGCCTCTGGCAGTTTTAAGCAGTTTGGTTTGTTCTTTTTTTGGGGGGGGGAGTTGTTGTTAAGATATTTTTTACTTTATTTTATGTAGATGTGTGTTTACTTACATGAATGTATGTATATGTACCACCTGTGTGCTCCTGAAAGCCAGAAGAAGGCATTATATCCCCTGGAACTAGAGTTACAGCTGGTTGAGAGCCGCTGTGTGGGTGCTGGCTACTGAATCTGGGTCCTCTGCAAGAGCAGCAAGTACTCTTAACCACTGAGCCATCTCTCCGTTAAATTCTGAGCCCTGTTAAAGTCTGTCCATCTTGCTGTCCTTCAATGTCACTCTAGAAAGACCTTGGGACACATACTGTTGCTTGCTCTCTTTTACATTTGTTTATTGTGTGCACTCAACGTTGATTCTGTCCTTCCACCACGTGGGTCATAAGGATTAGGGTTAACTTTAGGGTAATCAGCCTCGGCAGCAGGCGCTTTGACCACTGAGCCATCTTGCCAACCCTCTTGCTGTTTCTAGCTTGGTAGTATTTGCTAGCCTGTATCTGTTAATTCTGGGAAGTGAGTAATACTATTACTATACTATTTGGGGATGAAGAAATGGAAGCTGGTGGAGGAATCCATCCATTCTACCTTGAGGATGCGTCTGGAACAGATTCGATTTGTTTCTGTCCTCTCTTGGGTTTGTTTGTTTGTTTGTTTGTTTTGCCTGAATTTTTGCAATGAGTAGCTAAATAGTTTTTGTTTTGTTTGTCTTGTTTTTGTTGTTGGTTTGGTTTTGTTTTGGTTTTCTGAGACAAGGGGTTTCTGTGTAGCCCTGGCTGTCCTGGTTGTTAGAGACAAGGTAATGTTAGTTGTGGAGAGGGTGGCCTCTGGTGCTCAGCAGCCTCAGTTCAGACCATTCTTCTGTCACTAAACACATGTCCTTAGGCAGATTACTTCCAGCCTCCTCAGTTTCTTCATCTGATAAAACCAGGCAAAACTGCTGCTCAGGTCATAATCAGTTTCTCATTTTGTAGCAGTGTGTGGAGACTTGAACTGCAAAGAACACTGAGTGTAGTAGCCAGGGTTCCCTAGAGAGAGTAACAGAACTTATAGAATGAGTACACACACACACACACACACACACACACACACTCTTCCACTTTCAAGATGTGGCTAGTTTAGAGGTGAGTCTTCCTACCTCAAAAGAGCTAGATTGGGGGGCTGGAGAGATGGCTTGGCTGTTAGAGCACTGGCTGTTCTTCCAGAGGTCCTGAGTTCAATTCTCAGTAACCACATGGTAGCTTACAGCCATCTGTAATGGAACCCAGTGCCCTCTTCTGGTGTGTCTGAGGATGGCTATAGTGTACTCATATAAATAAAAATTAAAAAAAAAAAAAAGATTTAGATTAAAGGTGTGTCTTCCCACCTCAAAGATTCTGATTACAAGTGACTCACTTCCCACTTCAGATGATCCAGTTAAACAGAAAGTCCCTCACAGGCGTGTCCAGCTTTGGGGAAAGTTTTAGTTAATTCTAGATATAGTCAAATTGACAACCAAGAATAGCCATCATACTGAGCCTCAAGTCCACCAGTGTTGAGTCTTGGGGGTGCGTCTCTGCCTCCATTTGCTGTTCAGCAGAGGGGTGACTCCTGGACTGGGGCTTTAGAGGCCATCTGCAGAGCCCTGGTCCAATGGAGACAGTACCAGCCTGGGTCTGTCCCTGTCTCCAGCCTTGCATGTCCAGCCTCCCACTGACATCTTCACCTAGATAACGCAGATCTTCTGCAGTCTGACCTGTCCACACATGTTCTTCCTGCAGCATTCATGGAGTAGCACAGGGTGCTGGCTTTCTCTAGAGGTGGAGGTTCAAGTCTCGGTTGTTGGAACTGGAAGGCAGAATGTGGTTAGGTGAGAACTGTTGGTGTGTGCTGAATATATACATGAGTGGGAATATCTGACCCACTGACACACTTGAATAAAAGCAGGATCCCATGGATAGAGGATCAGCAATGTGACTCATGTTCAGGAATCCCCAGGTCAGGATGGCCTGAGCAGCAAAGTCTGAATAGTTAACCCTCAGTACCACTCTGGGGAGCCCCTCTGGAATTATTCATGGCAGGGGAATGGACTTCGCAGTCAGAAGCACTGCATTTGCTCTCTCTTAATTAGCTCCAGATAGGGCACATCACTCCCTTGTCATAGGATCATTTTTCCTGTATTCAAATAAGAGTAAAAATAATACTTCTCCAGTTTACACAAATAGCAAATGAGTCGTGTGAAATCACTTTGTAAACAATGAAAGTATACAAATATTAGTAATTTCATGCTACTCCAGCTTTTGTTCTTTGTTTCTGTTTCTGCGACTTGAATCATTAGATAATTTTAAAATTATTAGCCACTGGTTGGACAGATGGCTCAGAGGTTTGGAACACTGGCTGCTCTTCCAGAGGTCCTGAGTTTGATTCCCAGAAGCCACATGGAGACTCCCTGCCGTCTGTAGCTCAAGTTCCAAGGGATCCAAAGCTCTCTTCTGGCCTCCTTGAATATCAGATACATGCATAGTACAAAAACATACCTGCAGGCAGAACACAGACACATAAAATTAAACTTAAACCAACAGCGACAAGCAACTACTAACCACTTAAAAAACAACTGAGCCTGGTGCTCATACCTGCAGTTCCAGCCCATGGGCAGCATGGGCAGGATGGTCACAAATAAAGGTCATCCTTGGCTATATAGAGAATGTAAGGCTATGCTGGCCTATGTGACATCCTGCCTCGGAAGAACTGGAGGTAGGGAAATGGTCTAATAAGAATGGAGGGTAGCTGGGCAGTGGTGGTGCCCGCCTTTGATCCCAGCACTTGGGAGGCAGAGGCAGGCAGATTTCTGAGTTCGAGTCCAGCCTGGTCTACAGAGTTAGTTCCAGGACAGCCAGGGCTACACAGAGAAACCCTGTCTCGAAAAACTAAAAAAAAAAAAGAATGGAGGGGTTTTCTGTGTAAATTTGTTTTTGTTTTCTTTTTAACAAAACAATATACTTCGCCCCAACTTTGGATGCGTCTGACCTTTGTTTTTTTTTTTTTTTTTTAAAGATTTATTTATTTATTTTATTTATGAGTACACTGTCGCTGTCTTCGGACACACCAGAATAGGGCATCCAATCTCGTTACGGATGGTTGTGAGCCACCATGTGGTTGCTGGGATTTGAACTCAGGACCTCTGGAAGAGCAGTCAGTGCTCTTAACCGCTGAGCCATCTCTCCAGCCCCGCGTCTGACCTTTGTTAAGTGACCTTTGAACCTTAAGGACTGGGTGATGAAGTATTAGATTATCTATTGTGCCTAATAGCCACAGTGCAGTAAATAACTTTTATTATTGTGTTTGTTACTCATTAGGAATTTTCTTCCACAGGATACAAATCACTCGCTTTATCTGAGTGAGTTGGGCCTTCTGTCCACAGATTCTGAATTGCAAGAAAATTCCAGTTCGGTAAGTGAGGAGAGCTAGAGTAATTCTCTTTGAAACCGCATAGCCAGTTGGGAGCCTCCTGGATTTGACTGTGTCGGTCGATGGCGAAGGACTCATTTTCCTGCCCTGGGATTGCCTTGGATGGTTTTTGGTCCCAAAGGATCCCTTATGTTACTAATGTAGGCAAATACTCACCGAGTTCTGTTCCCAAGGCCACGCATGCAGCCTGCAGTGCCATCAGGCCTGGGTAGTTTTGGCCTCAAGGATGTATCAGAGTCTCAGAGTTTCTAGACTTTCCTCAACCCTGCCTGCCTCACCTGCCTTAGGCTGTCCTTCTTCAAGCTCACCTTACAGAGCACGTGAAGAGGGCTTCCTCTGCAGGCCTCTCTAAGGGGCAAGCCTACTCCATCTTGTCTCTGCGGCTCCATGATGGGCTCACACGCCTGCATGGAGTCTGAGCGTAGGCAGGCCAGCTGCTCTCATGGTTTCTCAACACTAACTTTGAGGTGTGTGCTCGGCCTAGATTTTCTGCCACTCTTCATAATGCATAAATGTAATTGAATGTGTTTAAACACTGACAGAATGACAGCAGTGCTGTGGGAAAATGCTTCCTGTTTTCCATTGTCTTATATGGTGAGACAATACTGCTTAGTGTAGTCCAGGCTGCCCTCAAACTCAGGACAAGCTCCCTACTTTAGCCTCCCAGATGCTGGGACTATAGAAGTGAGCCAGCTCACTGAACTGGAAAACTGTTTTTTGAAGTGTGGGGATTAATAGAGTCAGTGGTAGTACTTACAGACTGTAGTTTCTTATCTGGGTGTGGTAGTAGACTGAGGCAGGAGGATCACCTGAGACAGTTCTGAGTAACCTGAGATCCATCTCTAAGGGAGAAAAAAATAAAGTGTATGTATGCCCTGCTCTCCTTTTTTTTTTTTATTCGTTTTTTTGAGACAGGGTTTCTCTGTGTAGCCCTGGCTGTCCTGGAACTCACTTGGTAGACCAGGCTGGCCTCGAACTCAGAAATCCGCCTGCCTCTGCCTCCCGAGCGCTGGGATTAAAGGTGTTCACCACCACCACCCAGCTTTCCCTGCTCTCCTTGCAACTACAGAATCAGTTGTATTTGGGGGCTGGACTTGGGCAAGCACAATGCCCTGAGTTGCACACTCACCTCCTCTCTGTGTGTGTGTGTGTACACTCACATATGCACACTAGTGTGTTGGAGTACTAGAGTACTGGGCACTTTAACTTAGGGCCTGTTGCATGCTAGGCAAATACTCTGCCCCTGAGCTAAATCCTCAGCCCAGATAGAAGAATTTCATAGCAAACATTTGCTCATGGACATAAATAAATATATTTATGCAAATAGGAAATCTTGGTTGAGAAAAAATGAAGGCAGGCATGCTGGTATATGCTTCTAATCCCAGTATTTGGGAGGATGTGGCAGGAGGATTGCCAGAAATTTGTGGTAAACCTATAGTGTATAAGTGAAACCTTCTCAGATAGAAAGATAAAGCAAGCCAGGCTTGAAACGTGGGCATTAAGGTGAGTCCCTACAGTCCTAGCGCTTGAGAGGTATAAGCAGCAAGATTATAGACTCAAGGAAGTACACTGTAAAAAAAAAACAGTTCTAGGGACATTTAGAACTGAAAATTAAATAAATTCAAAGCCCAGGGCTGTCAAGACAGCTCAGTGGGTAAAGTGCTTGCCACTCAACCCTGGTGAGCTAAGTGCAGTCTCGGGAGTCTCCGTGAAAGCTGTGGAGAATTGCCTTCCCAGAGCTGTGCTCTGATCTCCATAATCTCCGTGACTCCCCTGCTTGTGCGCCTTACGCAAAGAAGCAGCACTATGGAAAGATTTTTAGGTTAGACTCGGCCGTGGCTCAGCATAAGAGAGTCATGTAAGTCAGAGATAGCTTAACCGGAGGACAAATGCAAAGAGAAATGAAACTTTCCATATGATTGTCATTCGTGTCACAGAACACATTTTCTAAAGCTTGTACTCAGGCAGTCTAGGCTGTCCTGAGTTACCTAAGGCTTCTGGGTACAGTATTCCTTTAACGTGTATGCCCTCCATGCATGCGCACTTGTGTGTGCAGCTGCATGCCACAACACACACTTACTTGGGAGTGAGAAGACACTCGGGTTCTGGGGATTGATTGAAGGACCTCAGACTCCAGGCGGCCTCCTTTATCCACAGGGCCATCTCAAAGCCCGCCATCTAACTGTATTACATGGCAGAGACGTCCATGCTGGCCAGGACGGAGACATAAGACTTAGATTTTGGGAGCTCTGAGGCCACCAGGGAAGATACCCGATAGATGGAAACCATGAGGAGTTTGTGAAAAGTGAGGCCATCTCCAGCATAGTTATCTTTGTCAAGAAGAATCCTGTCTCCTTGTCTAACTACCTGTTATGCTCCTGGCACTCAGCATTTATCCCAGATTTGGAAAGAGTTTTTTAGTCTTTCAAACCAAGGACACAGTCCTTAAAGCAATAGGACCAATGCGACATTTCTTAGTAATGGGGACTTGGTACTATCAAATGGTCAGTGTGTTTGAGATTGTTATCTTCAGGGTGTCTGTGTAAATGTGTCCTAGAAAGGAACTTACTGGCTCCAGTCTTTTGAGAAGGGGCTGGGTCCAGCAGGCCGGGCCTCTCGGTTGCTGGGCTCGACCTCATCTGGACCTGGATAATTCTGGCTGGTTTTCCTGCACTGACCCTGAGCTCAGCCTGCCCTCACCTCTGTTTTGGAGAGTCATTCCCATTACTTGTACAGTGAGGGCTTTGCTCTGCAGCCCGTCAGGGGCTTCCACACCCCCTCTTCCTCCATCACTTGTTCTCTCCCCGTCTCCTTTCTTACTCTGTTTTGGAACCTTTATTGATGTGCTTTGTCCATGCACAGAGGGACATGTACCATTCTGTGACTCATCAAGCCTGGGCCGTGGCACCAGCACAGACAGACTAGTTGCTGCTGGTCTCTATGCTTGGGGTCGCATGCCTGCTTCCATTTGCCTTTTCTCTCAGAACACTCAGTTTAAGAAATTAGTTGTAGCCGGGCAGTGGTGGCGCACGCCTTCAATCCCAGCACTTGAGGGGCAGAGGCAGGTGGATTTCTGAGTTCGAGGCCAGCCTGGTCTACAGAGTGAGTTCCAGGACAGCCAGGGCTACACAGAGAAACCCTGTCTCAAAAAACCTAAAGAAAGAAAGAAAGAAAGGAAGGAAGGAAGGAAGGAAGGAAGGAAGGAAGAAAGAAAGAAAGAAAGAAAGAAAGAAAGAAAGAAAGAAAGAAAGAAAGAAAGAGAAATTAATTGTAGTCCTGTGTGCACACCTGTAATCCTAGCTCTTGGGAGGCAGAGGCAGGAGAATTACGACAAATGTGAGGTTGATTTACATAGTGACCAGCTGGAGCTGTACAGAGAAGTCCTCTCTGGAAAGAAGAAAAGAACAAAAAAACTTAATTTATAATACTGTACCTTCTTTGAAACAGGATCTGGCTCTATAGTCAGTCCATGCTGGCATCAAACTCACAGTGAGCCTCCCGTCAGAGTTCTGGAATTACAGACTTGAGCCACAAAACCCTTCTTATACAGAGCTCTTGCTCCTTCTGCCCCTCTGCTCCTCCCCCTCCCTCATTCCCCAGTCTCACCCCTGAGATCTCTTAGAACACTTGGTGCCACTGTGCCAGGTCAGAGCACTGTCTGAGACGTGGTGCTCACCCTGTATTATTTGGAAGCGGAGTCCCTTTGTTGTGTTCCATCAGACTTGCTGATCCCTGAGTTAGGATTCCGTCTCCTGTCTCTCTGGCTGTGAAAAGCTGGCATCTCATGGGTTCATGTTGCTCCCTGCAGCCTTCTCTGCGTCTTCTGCATATTCAGACTCAGGTCTTTACACTTGTGTGGCAAGCTCCTTCGCCCACTGAGCCATCCTCAGATTCCCTCTTTGTCTTCCTCCTTCTCTCCCCACCCCCTCATTTTTTAAAAGATTTATTTATTTTTTTATAAACATGAGTATACTGTCACTCTATTCAGAGACATCAGAAGAGGGCATTGGATCCCATTACAGATGGTTGTGAGCCACCATGTGGTTCCTGGGAATTGAGCTCAGGTCCTCCGAAAGCTCTAGTCAGTGCTCTTAATCGCTGAGCCATCTCTCCAGCCCTTCTCCCCCTCTCATTTTTGAGTTTGTTCTTTTGTGACAGGATCTCACTCTGTAGCCCAGGCCAGTGTTAACAGTGCTGCTCATCCTCAGCCTCCAGGATCCTGTGATCACAGGCCAGAGCCACCATGCCAGAGCCACCATGCCAGAGCCACCATGCCAGAGCCACCATGGATCGTTTTCAATTATGTTTATTTGCAGTTCACATAACATCTTTATTTTAGCCTCACATGATGATGCACACCTTTAATCCCAGCACTTTGGAGGCAGAGGCAGGCAAAACTCTGAGTTCAAGGCTAGCCTGGTGTATAGAGTGAGTTCCAGGATAGCCAGGGATTCACAGAGAAACCCTGCCTCAAAAAACAAACAAACAAAGCAACCTTTATTTTAACCACAACTTACCTGGGATTCCCTGGCTCCCAGTGTTTGAGGACGCACTTGATGGAAGCCTTTAGACACAGCTTGGACATGTCCGCCCCAGGGTGTCACAGCTGTCCCTGCCTGCTGTCACCCTAATGTCTCTTCCTTTTCTGGACTTTTATTGCCACATAGAATTCTGAGATGGAAGTGGACTGGAGACAGGAGAATTAAAGCTTCCTCTTACTTTGTTAAATTGTGTAGGATGGGGAGGGGCGTGAGGTACGTGCAGATCCCTGTGCTACCCAGGGACGTTCCTCTGAAGTTGGAGGTCCCAGTGGTTGTGACCGTGGGGACTGGGGACTGAGTTTTGCAAGAGCAATGTGTGCTCTTAACCACTGAGCTGTCTCTCCAGGTTTTTAAATGCCTTTAGCCTATGGCATTTGCTAAGTATACAGTTTTCACAGATTTTTGTCACGTAAGGTTTTTAGGTTGGTTTGACTTCTTACTGTGACCCATTAGAATGTCATACTAATAACCTTGGAAGATAATATGTCACTAGTGCATCAGAGGGACGAACTGTAGGGACTTAATTATCTCAGTCTGTTTTCGGCTGCCGACAATATAGTCCTCCAGTTTTACAGAAGAGATACTTACTTGGATTCACAGCTCTGGAAGCCCAAAGTTGATAGGCTGGATGTGTGTGTTCCTGTGTGTGCAGGTATTCGATCGACCTCTCTGACGTGGGTGGAGGTCAGGGGTCATTATCAGTGCCTTCCTCCATCGCTCTCTACTTTAGTTGTTGGGACACAGTCTCTTATTGAACCCAGAGCTCACCATTGTGACTGGACTGTCTGGTCAGCGAGCCCCAGGAATCCTCCTGTCTCTGCCTCACCAGTGCTGGGAATGCAGGCATGCACCTCTCTATCTGCCTGTATTGTTATCATGCTTGTATTTATTAATTCATTTTATGGGGATGTGGGCACCCCCACAAACTCAGGCCCTCTGCTTGTATGGCAAGCACGTTACAGACTAAAACCTTAGCCCTATTCCTTTATTTAGGATGACAAGATCCTCCACATTGTATCCCAGGCTAGCCTTAAACTTGGACTGGCTTTGACCTTTCTATCTTCTTGTCGAAAACTCTTGTATCCTGGATGACAGATGTGTGCTTTAGTGGTGGCCTTTCTTTCTGGCAGGAAGGTTGAGTATGAATGTCCTGGTCTTTTTCCTTCCTTTTCTTGATTTTTAGCACAGGCTAGCCTGGGGCTGACAAAGAATCACCCATTTGTGCTCCCCAAGTGCTTGGGTTAAAGGCTTGTGCTGCCATGCCTAGCCTCTCCCCTCTTTCTGAAGTCAGTAGTGGCCAGTGTTAGACCTCACTGTGCTGGCCTCATTGGACCTCAATGGCCTAAGCTTTATGGGGCTTAAGCCCTAGCATGAGTTTCATTCTCTTTTTAAAGAAGGAATCACTTTGGCTTAATTAACATGAGTTTCCATGATGCAAATTACAACAATAATGTACAGACTACACTCTCATTTGTAGAATTTGGTCTTTTAAAACAGGGTTTATATGAACTAGGTTTATTTTTTTGTGTACATGAGTGTTTTGCTTGCACACTGCGTGGCTCTAGCCATGGAGGCCAGAAAAGGGTGTTGAATCCCCCAGAACTAGAATTATAAATGACTGATAGCACCACGTGGATCCAGGGTGTACCCTACTCCCAAGCCTCCTCCCACCCCCAAATCCTCCTCTTAAATGCCATAGAGTAAAGATTTCAGGCTTTGTGGAGCCCCTAGTCCCTGTCACAGTTACTTGTCCCTGCTGATGTATTGTGAAAACGGCATCTCTGTGCACATGTCTGCATTCCAGCAGAACTTCATACAAAGACTGGTCATCAGCCTGCAGGTCAGAGCAACCGATTCTTCATGTCTCAGTTTCAGGGAAATGTGTTCCTTCACAGAAGGCAGAGACACAGATAAATGCTGGCCATGATGGCTCACACCTGCAGTCCCAGTGCACAAAGACCAAGGCAGTAGAATCAATTAGTTCAGGACCTGCCTGAGCAACTTAATGAGATTCTCTTTCAAAATTAAACTTTTTTTGTTTTTGTTTTTCGAGACAGGGTTTCGCTGTGAAGCCCTGGCTGTCCTGGAACTCACTCTGTAGACCAAGCTAGCCTCGAACTCAGAAATCCACCTGCCTCTGCCTCCAAGGTGCTGGGATTAAAGGCGTGCGCCACCACCACCCAGCTCTGTCTCAAAATTAAAAAAGAAATGAGTACTGGACATGCGGATCGGGAGTGAAGGCTTGCCTGAAGAGTGCAGGACCCTGGGTCAGTCTCTAGGATTTACAAAGAAGCTAGAGGCAGGAATCCTATCAGAAGGTCATTCTGATTCCCCTACTTGCGTGTATTCTTCAGCGGGAGAACTTTGTCAGGATGGCAAATCTCACAGCTCTCTCCCTGTCAGACACAGGACCAGGACCTCAGCACAATTTCACCAGCAATCATCTTTGAATCAATGTTCCAGAATTCCGACGACTCTGCAATTCAGGATGACCCTCTGCAGACAGGTGTGTTCACATTTCTATCCACCCGTTTCCAACCCTGTGATGCTCAAAGAAGGTTTCCTTTTCTTTTTTTTTTTTTTTTTTTTTTTTTTTGGTTTTTCGAGACAAGGTTTCTCTGTGTAGCCCTGGCTGTCCTGGAACTCACTCTGTAGACCAGGCTAGCCTCGAACTCTCGAACTCAGAAATCCACCTGCCTCTGCCTCCCAAGTGCTGGGATTAAAGGCGTGCGCCACCACCGCCCGGCGAAGGTTTCCTTTTCAATCTCTTGTTGGCTTTAAAAAAACTGCAGTAGCTGTGGGCTTTTCTCCGTCTAGTGTGCTGCTTTGCTCACCAGTGGATGAGACCCACCGATGAGGCTTCTTATATGTGTAGGTAACTGTACTAGAAGGGAAGCATCTGTGCAGTAGTGTTCCACGGCCAGATGTCTCCTGACTAATCATGCCAACAGAGCTTGCCTCTTCTCTTTGCAGAAGAACAGTATGACACTTCTGTTCTAGTTAAGTTTGCTCAGAACCTGTCTGTGTAATGTATATGATTAGAAAGCCTAGCACTTGGGCCTAAGGCAGAAAAGAAAGAATGCAGGAGGCAGGCAGTGAAGTGATTGGCTCATAAAGACTGTTTCATGACCAGGCAGTGGTGGTGCACACCTTTAATCCCAGAATTTGGGAGGCAGAGGCAGGCGGTTCGAGGCTACCCTGGTCTACAGAGTGAGTTCCAGGACAGCCAGGGTTACACAGAGAAACCCTGTCTCGAAAAACTAAAAAAAAAAAAAAAAGAATATTTCTTTGAGGTGCCTCTGAGGTTTGAGATAGATGTGGATACATATTTCTTCTTTTCCTTGACAGCTGCCTTGATTGACAGTTTTAATGGTGATGCAGAGTCTGTCAGTGATGTCCCACCGCCTGCAGGAAATTCCACATCTTTATCTCTTCCACTCGTACTGCAGCCTGGCATCTCCGAGCCACCCCAGCCTCTGCTACCAGCCCCAGCTCCGTCCGCACCTCCACCTGCTCCCTCCCTAGGACCCAGTTCCCAGCCAGCTGCATTTGGCAGCCCCCCTGCTCTCTTACAACCTCCAGAAGTGCCTGTTCCCCACAGCACACAGTTTGCTGCTAATCATCAAGAGTTTCTTCCGCACCCCCAGGCGCCACCCCAGACCATCGTACCAGGACTTTCTGTTGTTGCCGGGGCTCCTGCATCAGCGGCAACAGTGACATCAACCATGGCAGCACCAGCCCCACCACAAAGTACTACTGAGCCCCTGCCTGCTATGGTCCAGACTCTGCCCCTGGGTGCCAACTCTGTCCTAACTAATAATCCCACCATAACCATCACCCCAACTCCTAACACGGCAATCCTGCAGTCCAGCCTGGTCATGGGAGAGCAGAACTTACAGTGGATATTGAACGGTGCCACCAGTTCACCACAAAACCAAGAACAAATTGTAAGTATTACTCGTAAGCACACCCAGTGGGGTGATATGCATATAGGGGACATGACCCTCCTTTCTTTACTCCCTTCCCCCTTCCCTCTTTCCCTCCTTCCCTTCTCTCTCTCTCTTTCTCACTCTCACTCTCACTCTCTCTCTTTCTTTCTTTCTTCCTTCCTTTCTCTCTCTCTCTCTCTCTCTCTCTCTCTCTCTCTCTCTCTCTCTTTCTTTTCTTTTCTTTCTTTCTCTCTTTCTTTCTTCCAGCAGTACTAGGAATTGAAACTAGGGCTTCACACATGCTAGGCAAGTGCTATACCACTGAGTGTATCCCCAGCCTTTAACCAGTCTTTTATTTCAAAAGGGAAATGGCTAGCATGTCTGCCTTGAAACACGTATTCGTGGAGCCATTTTCCCCCATAAAGTATTGCAGATCCAGGGGAATGGATGTATCTAAGATAAAGACAGAGAAAAACAACCTTAAAGTTTACCTAAGGAATATTCCCTCTGAAACTAATCATATCATGTAGTACCACACTGGCATGCCCAGCCTGAGGGTAGCACGTGTCCCAGGAGAGCAGTGGATTTGGATCAACAGTAGCAGATCACAACACTTGCCTTATAACATCAGAAGATTGGATTCTTCTTTCAAGAGATCAGACCCATGCATTGCCACACGTGTGCTGAGCCAGCGCCCACCGCTGAGCACGTCCAGGCCCCAGGGTGCTTTTCTAAGAATGCATTTGTTCTTGATGACTCTGGAAATGATGTGGTCATCATGTCCTTGTGTCTTGAGAGCCTAGTTGCCAGATTCTATGTTGGAGGATACAGAAAATGAAAAGGATGATGTATTTTAAGATGCTCATCAAGTAAGGAGATTAAAATATTACTATTACCAACAGGTAAAAAGCCCGATAATGCCAGCAATAAAGCAGAACAAAGCAAAGTCCTGTGGAGCTCTTACCTTATGTAAAGGGGATAACTATGCACTCTCTTTGAGGAGGAACATGGCCTGTGTGTGGAGGACAGCTCTTGGGGAGACGCTTGTTGATGTCAGTTGTCTGTACCTGCTAACTTTTTTTTTTCTTTCGAGATAGGGTCTCTTTACAGAGCCCTGGCTGCCCTAGAAAATCACTCTGTAGACCAGGCTGGTGTTAAACTCACAGAAAACTGCCTGCCTCTGCCTCCTGAGTGTTGGGCTACCAGGCCTGCCTCTGCTAAGCTATCTTGCCAGTGCTTTTTAATTTTTTTTTCAGATCTATTTTAATTTTTGTATATGAACATGTTGTCTGTATGTCTGTCCACTCCATGCCAGCCTGGTGCCTTCAGAAGCCATAATAGGGTGACTGGCCCATACAAGATAAAGCTGAGGTTTAAAAGTGGGCAGGCTGTCCCCAGATCTGTGTTTCCATGTGAGAGCTTGGCCCCTCAGAGGCTTGCACGACCACACAGATCAAGTGGGCCCTGAGCCGCGGGACTGCAGTTTGGAAATGGCTGGGCAGCTACCTGTGGAGACATCTTGTTTGCCTGTCGGGTGGTTGGGGTCACTGGAGTAGCCTTTCCAGTATCCTGTCCCAGTCTACTGCTTAGAGTCTTTATTGTTTTTCTGGAGCTGCCATTGGGGAGCTGTCAAAACAAATGTCACTCCTTTTCCATGTGACTCATTTACATATATTTAAATATGGGCCTCATGCCTATAATCTCTTTGCTTAGGACATATGGGCCGAAGTAAGTTCAAAGCCAGCCTGGGCTATAAAGCCAGATCCTATGTATTCATCCCAGCCCAAAAGTAAAGGGTGATAGGGAGGACCAAGCACTTGTACCTCTATCCTTCCTTTTTTATCCCCGCGGTGAGTGCTAGGCCAGTGCAGCTGCTCTGCTACTGAGCCCACTCCGCAGTCTTGCATCGGTTTTTATATCGATTTTATAGCTCTGTCTGTCTTAGCCGGAAATCAGAATTCTCCCCAGACCCATCCAACACATTTTGTTGTGCTTTAAAGTATGATAGGAAGGAAGAGAGGAGAGAGAGGAGAGGGGAGAAGGGGGGGGGGGGGGGAGAGGGAGAGAAAGAGAGAGAGAGAGAGAGAGAGAGAGAGAGAGAGAGAGAGAGAGAGAGAGAGAGAGAGAGAGAGAGAGATCACCTAGAGCCAGGAAATGGTACATGACTTTAATCTCAGTACTTGGAGGCAGAGGCAGACAGATCTCTATGGGTTCAAGACCAGCCTGGTCTACAGAGCTAAAGTTCCAGGACAGCCAGGGCTATACAGAGAAACCCTGTCTCAAAAACAAACGAAAAAAAGATGCCCCTTTAAGATAACTAGAAAAATATAGAAATATTAATTATTTTTATGTGAATGGGTGTTTTACTTGCATGTATATCTGTGTACCACATGTGTTCAGCACCTGTGGAGGCCAGAAGATGGCACTGGGTCCTCTGGAAGAACAACCAATGATCCTAAGGGCTGAGCCATCTCTCCAGCCCCTAGAAACCCTTTAATATAATAGAAAGTAAAGTGGAATTCTAATACAGGTTGGTTTGTTTGGAGTTTGTTTGTTTTGTTTTGGGCTTGTTTGTTTAATTTTTTAAGATAGATATCTTGCATTAGGTCTGATCTCAAATTCACTGTGTAGCCAAGGCTGTCCTTGAGCTTCTAGCCTTAGCCTCCTGAGTACTGTATGCCTGTGCACAATTCATGGTCTTGATGGTAATAATCCAGAGGCTGGTATCTACTGGCTGCTATAAGCTGAGTGTTCTGTACCATCTCATTCGTCTTCGGAGTCCTTTGAGAGGCTCTTCAATCCTCACCCCAGCTTTTATAAGAAGCCATGGTTCTAATAAGTTAAGTCACTGGGCTGCAACCTCAGCTTGGGTGGTAGAGGCAGGTGTATGAGAAGTTCATGGCCAGCCTGGGTTACATAGTGAGAATGTATCTCAAAAGACGAAACCAAAACAAATGACAAAGTCCAAATCACTGGACATGAATCTGGTTTAGTCAAGTCCTGGGACCCGCAGTGGGGCTGTCCTTAGTGCTGTGTTTGATGCTGTGTTCTCATGATGATGGTAGCCTTATGCTGCCCTGGGGGAACACTCTAGACTGTGGGAAAAGGAACATTACAGGTTTCTATATTATAGAAAGAATCAGGGCGGACTTTAAAACCAGCCCAGACCTCCCTCTGAGAAGACCATCACCTGAGGAAAGCAACCCTGAAGGGGTCTCTGGACACATACAGTCCACTAGACTAGGCAGCTGGGAGGCAGGGAAGTAACAGAAACAAAGCTGGCTATAGTGTCAGCATGGAATGTCAAACAGGGCAGTGACCTCACATCAGTGCACAAACAAGAAGCCGGAACACTGAGGGTTTCTGTTTTCTTGGGTGAGCACTATAGCTGGGGGCTTTGGAGCCTGGGATGGCTGCCCAATTGAAGTGGCCGTCAGTGTGATTTTGTTGTATTGTGTTTCCTTCAGCAGCAAGCATCGAAAGTGGAGCAGGTGTACTTCACCACCGCAGTACCAGTAGCCAGTAGCACAGGTATGAAATCCGCATTAGCTTTAAAAGAAGTTCTCTGGCCTCTCTGACCTTGCTTCACTTGTTAAATTTTTAAGTTGACATTCCATAGTTCACTGAGTAGCCCATGTTCTCGTGGTGAGCCAGTGTGCTGCTGGTGAAAACGGGGGCTCCATCCTTTATGTAGTCCAAGGGTTTTCCCTTGGTTAATAGAGCTTGTAAGCAGAACCAGGAGAAGGTTACATCACAGGTAACGCTAAGAGGGCAGTGAACTCACGGGGGTCTTGTCTAATTACAGTGAGCAGCAGCAGCATCTGGGAGGGAAACAGCTGGAAGGGACTCAGCTCCACCTGAGTGCTCCTTATCTTTTTTACTAGTCCTGAGGATTGAACCCAGAAACTCACATATGCGAGTCAAGCCCTCTACCACTGAGCTATATCCCCAGCCAGAACTTTCACTTGAAACTTTTTTTTAAATGTGTTAAACCCAGAACCAAGCGTGGCGATGCATGCCTGCACTGCCGGCACTGTGGGGCCAATGCCAGGATGATGAGAGAATTCAGCTCTTGAGTTCTAGGTTAGCCTGAGCTGCATAGTGGCTTCTAGGTCAGTCTGGTAAAATCCTGCAGTGGCAGCTAACTGAAATAATTAAGGGGGAGCTGGGCAGTGATGGCATGTGCCTTTAATCCCAGCACTCTGGAGGCAGAGGCAGGAGGATCTCTGTGAGTTCGAGACCAGCCTACAGAGCGATTTCCTGGACAATCAGGGCTACACAGAGAAACTTTGCCTTGGAAAGCAGTGAGGGCCCAAAATAGATTCATTGACTTCCAAAGGTCATAAATGAACCTGTAGGGAGGAGCCCTCTGAGCACCCTGTTCCCACCCTGTGTCCTCCTACTAGCCCTCAGCTCTGTTGTACGAGGAACCTGGCTGAGCACAGAGCCTATGTGTGTGTAACACACGTGAGGGCGAAATGAGAATGGATACGAATAGGCTGGCTGGGTAGGAGATCACTCGACATCTCTCACAGGGCAAACATGAGCCACATAGAGATAGATGCTCAGTGTCCTAAGGAGCTGGGATCTGGTAGGTCCTGTGCCATGCGGAGAGGGGTATAGAATGCAAGCAGCAATGCTCTGTGCATGTGCCTGGGGCTCAATACTGCCTGCCCAGTGGTTAGTCACTTGCATAGCCTGCAGGGACCACCACCTGGGGCAGGCAGGAAGAGAGCGGGGAGCCAGTTGGTCTTTGAAAGATGAGGGCACTGTCTGCCTGCAAGTTTAAGCAAAAGGAAGAGCCCAGAGGATGACGAGGAAAAGGGTGGCATCTGCTGTGGCTGCACAGATGTGGCAGAGAGGGATGGGGTGTATCTAGATTATGTGGGTGGGTCTTCTAATGGGAGATTCCTCACAGGCCTTTTCCCTGAGAAAGAACCTGGACCAATGTAAAGCACAGCAAAGCCCACAGCATAGTGTCTTTCCTGCCTGTCGTGCCTGCCTCCCAGCATTCAGTTCTCCCTCCCACCCCGTCCTTTCTCCCCCACCCCTCATGCCTGTTCCTGGCCACTTGAAGAGCAGTCTCTCTCGCCTCTCTCATAGGGAGCTCTGTTCAGCAGATTGGCCTCAGTGTTCCTGTGATCATCATCAAACAAGAGGAGGCCTGTCAGTGTCAGTGTGCGTGCCGGGACTCTGCGAAGGAGCGGGCGGCCGGCCGGAGAAAGGGATGTTCTTCTCCACCCCCTCCAGAGCCGAACCCCCAGCCTCCTGATGGGCCCAGCCTGCAACTGCCACCCTAGACTTCTCCCTCATCCCTGCCCCCCCTCATCCTCCTTCACCGGACCCTCTTCCTGTGAGCAAAGCAGACAGGCTGGGGCTCCTCAGACCCTTCGAAATGTTAAGTGCCATGGATGTATCAGAGTTCCTGTCCCTCCAGAGCCTGGACACCCGGTCCAGTCCGGTTCACAGTGAAGCACTACTGCAGGGGTAGAGGAAAGAGCCTGGCCGGCAGCTTCTCCAGGGGAAGGGCCTGTGCGCACCCCTCCAGGAACAGGGTGAGCAGGAAGTACCAGGTGTGATGCTGCCATCATGGGGTCAGAAATTGGAAGGATGAAGAAATCTACCATCTGAAAGCCTCCCCTTTCAGACGTATTTTCTTTACTCATATACCAGGAACATCCATTTTAAGGAACTGATCTTTGGAGGAAAAAACAAAAACAAAAAAAACCAAAAAACAAAAAAAAAGAAAAAAAAAGAAAAAAGAAAAAAGGAAAAAAAAAGCTAAGTTATAAGTGAACTGTCTGGCTGCACTGTATGTCACTTTTGCTTATTGTTATGTGAACTTGGAAATTAAGGTTACTTGTATGCATAAAAGTTCTAAATGAAAGGGTGTGGTTTCCATCAATTTGGTACTGCCCATCATTTGCACTGGGGTCATTGTGGATTGGGCAGGAGAGTTCACTGTGCTGGGTGTTGCTCCTCTTCTGTGTCTTTTTAATCTGAGGCAACACCTGAAGGGTCAGGCCACCGCTCTGTGAAAGCGGGTAAGGCAGTTGAGAACTGTGAGTTAGACAGGGCGAGTTGCTTCGTTGTTGGCACTTGGTTTCTGTGGAGCTTGGAGTAGATGCAGACGGGTCTGCCGTGTATCCTGCTCAGTCCTAGTGGGCAGCTGCAGGCCTCCTGGCCATAGTGAAGATGTGGTTCTGCAGGGCCCTGAGGCGGTTGTTGACCACTCTGTTGCTGATGTGCTAGAGCTGTCTATAGCACAGCACGGCCTTGCTTGGCTCTTTCCATCTCTCAGTGCTTGTCAGTGCTTGAGGCTTGGAGCCCATCTCCTAAGGAAGTGCCCGATTTTATCCTAAGGTGAATGAGAGGTTTATGGCCAGTGGCTGCCAGGGTCTGCCTGCCTTCGATGATGTTTGTTTCCTCAGAACAGAAGGGCTGCTTTTCCAGAGAAGGTACAGATCTAAGGGAGTTGGATGAGGCAGTAGGTGGTCGGCAGGCATTCTGGTACCCAGTTCTTCTGGTACCCAGTTCTAGCCAGGCTTTGGTCATCCTCTCCCATCTGCATCTCTCACGTCTCTTAGATTTGCATATAGCCTCATACAGTGCAAAGGAAGATTGTGATCTCTCAACAAAAAGGAATAAAAACCTAAAATGATGATATTCTACTCAGGGTAAAACAAAAAGTTCCCCTTCCACCAAAAAGCCTGAAGCTTGCAGTCAGTTTACCTCATTTGGAATGTTTCGTTGTGTTACAGGATTTTTTTTTTTATTAGTGTATAGAATTATACCCATCCCCTTGCCTTTGGCTCCAGGTTATTGCCTCCTCAAACATAATCTATAGGAGAATGGGGGTGTGGCTGCCCGTTTGCTATTTACTGTGGCCATTGGTGCTTAGCAAGCTCAGAAGGTAGCTGGGTCTAGGGACTGGAGGAGGCCTCTGCCTCCTGCAAGGAGCAGGATCCGGTGCCCAAACAGGACAGCCAGAGAGCTGTATAGGTTGCCCTCCTGCAGTCTGGGCATTTCCTCAGAGCCAGCTAGAATGGTGACTCTTGTCTTCAGGCAAGATATTTAGGGACAGTTGGCCAAGAGGGTCATGGGAGCAGTATTGAGGAGAAATGGCACAGGTACAAGCAGCTGATCTCCCATTCCAGGATTGGACCAGGAGTGTGAATTTCTGATGTTCTACACTCCTCCTCCCCCCACAAAGGTTGATGGGTTTGGGCAACCATAGACCTCTGCAGAAATCTGCAAGGTAGGAAGAGCCCTCTGTTGGCACAGTGGTTAGTCCTTCTGGGGAACCAGCTGCTTGCGTGTAGGGTTGTCCTTGGCTGTCTCTAGGACTTGCACTCACAGGAAGCTTTGCACTTGGGCCCTCACTCTTTTCTTTATAACTTCTGAGGAGAGCAGTGAATGGGACCCCAAAGTAAGCTTGTATCAAGGGACAGTAATGGCCCTCCCACTTACTCTGCCCATGATGACCTGGGAGTCTGGTTTGCTGGGAGCTGACATAGGAAACAGGAGCCTAGGGAGGATGTATAGAAGCTTTTAATGGTTTAAATATGGCTTCTTGGTTAGCTAGGGCACTTAATGGTCCATTCCTAGGTCACTGGGGAGGTGAAAAAGCAGTTGAACAGTGTTGAGGCTGAAATGTTTCTAGGTGATGGAGTTAGTGGCTTTAGAACACGAGACTCTCAGATCCAAAGAGCTTTTGGAAAGTGAGGGCTTTGCTTGCAGTCCATGGCTGTTGAGAGCCAGTGTGTGAAACAGGGTAGACAGATACTTCTGCCATGGTGTACCAGCAGTCCTTCCCCCATCCTTCCACAAGCCCAGCCTCTAATTCCAAGGACCTTGGAGAAGAGGGAGCCTCCTGGCTAAACTAGAGCCAGAAAGACCATTCATGGAGAGAGTGGTTTCTCCAGGGAATGACTTTAGGGTAAGGCCAAGAAGAGTGAATTCTGGCAGGTCGATTTAATCCTTTCCTTCCATGGTAGCCGTCACCACTGTTACCCTGTAGACCATACTTGGGTTACCACCAGCATCTCTAGTTTAGCCTCTTCCAAGAGACTAGTCAGCAGCAGGGCTGCTGGGCTTAGGAGGTGGTCAGGTAATCTTGGTCCCACCACACTGCCTTATAAATGTGGTCCTTCCCAGGCAGGTGGGTAAGGCTAAAGGACGATAGCTCAGTGTCCTTGACAGGGTCTGACCAACCTCATGGGGCAGCACTAGTTTGGCCACAGGAGTACTGTCATCTATTGACTTAGTCCAGTTCAGAAGATGATGGTAATGCCAAGGAGAGGCCTGGAGATGTGGAGAGCCCTCTAGATAGAAGGCTTCCTTCCCTTTCAGAGTCTGTAGATGGGAAAAGGTGGTTTTCCGGGTCAAGGCAGTGGACTGATGAGGTAATAGAGGTGCCTGAGGTTTTCCTGAGGCTTTGTATGATGCTGAATGTGTCCAGAGGGACAAATTTGCAGAACCTCATATTGATATTTTAAAGAAATAATAAAATAAAAAGCACTTTAGGTTACTTTATCTTTAACCCAATTGCTGCAATTTCTGTTGTGTATGTATATATACAAATATATACTTTCCACAAAGTTTTATTTTTTGCTCAGAATAAAAGTTAAGTTGAGGTGTAAAATGAAGAGCACTTACTTGGGTGCAATATATGCATAGCTTGACAGTCGCTATCCCACGTGGCCCTGGCCTAGCCTGGCCTCAAGCTCCATCAGCCCTGTGCTGAAGCTGGCCACAGGGAACAATATTAGCATCTCCCCAGCTGCTCAATCTATGCAAGCCTTCCCCGTGCGTCCGGGGCGCCCCCCTCAGGCCCTCCGAGGAACTGCTGCAGCTGTTTTCTTCTGACTGTTGAGGCCCCTTTTCTTTTCACTGCTTCTTGGTCCCCCTCCTCTCTTTCCCCTCTTCCCAGGACAAAATGATTCCTGAAAGGAAGGGTCAGTTGTTCCTAGGTAGAAACTTGGCACCTTTAGACTTTCATATTTGTAATCACATCCATTGAAGGGAAAGGCTTCTCCAGTGTCACTGAGACTATTGATTTGTGGAACTGCACTACCATTGCGCATCAACAGATTTTTTTACACCCCCAATCAGAAATATGTTGGAAGGGGCAGGCAGTACAAGCCTCCTCTGTTGGTTCAAAAGCAGGACTTCCATGCTTCATCAAATCCATTTTCAAAGCCGTTAATAACCTCCCTCACCAGCTCCCACTTAATTCTTAAATTCCCAACTGCAGAGGCATTTTAAATATATTTCAGCCAAAGCAAGATTTTCACAGATGAAGTTTTGCAAGTGGTTTTGCTGTGATATAGATGGGAAGTTATCCATCTCTTATTTGAGGTAGAAGGGGATGAGGCACAAAACTGGATTATACATATTTCTGATTGGTCTGTCTGGTCTGTTTCTTGCATATTCTTGGGGCAAAGATAAAAGGGTCTTGTTCCTGATGTCCCTGCTCTTGGGGAAGTTGGTCATTGGCCTGGGCATTTCTCACTGTTCTGGTGATATGAGGGCTTCTCAGTCCACATTGAAAATGCAAGTTAAATTTGGATCTGTCAAGGTATATTATAGTACAAATTTTTTCTAGAACTGGCGTTTAAAAACCATACAATGCTCCTTGGGTGGTGGCCTACTGGGACAAAAATAGTTGATGTCACTTTCTCAACACAATGCAATTTCTACTTATTTTTACAGGAAATGTTTTCATAAAACTTTTTTCCACCAAAATCTAGGGTGTTTATTGCAATATCCTCATGGCCCTCAAGGTGCCAAGTCAGGGGCTTGCCCAGCCTTGCCTCGGGTGTCCTCAGGCTCCCCAAGGGCTGTTTGAGTCAACAGTCTGCATCTTTTGTTGTGCTCTGGAGAGAAACTGTCACTGAGGTTGGAGTTCCAGGAAGCTAGTCCCTTTTCCTTCGAACTCCTCCTTGTCCCAGTTTGGGGAAGGTGGCTGGAAAACAGGCTTTTCTGGTTGTTTGGCTCAGATCTAGCCAGAAAAGGCCACAAACTCTTCTCTTTTCTAACACAAACTAATCACTGGCCAGTGGTCTTGGTGACGAGTTTTTAAGTCCCAAATAGTTTTATTTGAATTATGTAAAAGTATCGAATTATTTTAAATGTAAAACATGGGAACGGACTTCAACTGAGCGATATGAAAACCTTACAGGTTCAGTACTTCCAAAGGAAGAAACCTCCAACTCCCAAAAAGAATAAATACGAATTTGTATTTTTGAAGAATGTGAAATAATGGTGTTTGCTTAATTGCTCATTTTGTATAAACTTAATATTGTACTTTAAAATATCTGCTATGAAGTGAAAATTTAACTTTTTGGAATTGAAAAAGCAATATTAAATACTAATGAAACCTTAATTAAATGCTTATTTAAATCTGGTAGTACCTGTGGCATTACTTCCCATCCCTGTCCCTGGTTGACACTCTCTTCCCACTCCCAGCCATAAAGTCTTGGAGGGACATAAAGGAAAGGTCAGTCACTGGGGGTCTGCAGGTTTCCTTTTAATCAAGACTCTGCTGAAGTGTTTTGTGGGGCTGAGAGCTCCCAAAGCATGAAATGAACATGTAATACCACCTGGAACCCCCAAAGCAGGCCAGACCACTCTGGCCAGCACTGCTGGCCTTCCCAAATCTGAGTACTCAAGACTGGATGTTCGTTGGCTACATTTCAAAGCACAGTACTGCCTTCAGCCAGGATGACGTGGGAGTGAACCCAGCTGCTAGTAGAGTTGCCATCCCAGGCTGAGGGCCAAGTACCAGCAACTGCCAGTGAAGACTGGCCCCTTTTGGTGAAGAGAGTTGGTCAGAGTCCAGCCATCGGCCCTGGAAAGGGACAGAAGTCAGGGTGCCCGGCTAGGGAATGATCAAGACTCCGCAGCTCCATCGCCAGCATCCTTTGGAAGGCCACCTCTGGCGGATACAGATGGCTGGGGCGGCGCTCCAGACTTGGCTGAACCGTTCTAGTTGGAACAGAAAGAGGGGGGAAAAGTGAGCCCAGAAAGGCCTTAAGTTAGGCCCTCGCAAGAATAAGGCCACTTGGCGTCTCAACAATATTATACTTTTTCAAAACCCTAGCTCAGATCAAAGGAAGTTACGTGTAGAGCGGTGGGGGATGCTCTTCCACCTGCCTCCTTTGGGGCGAGGGGTGGGGGGCGAGCTTGGCCAGTGCAGTCAGTGGGAAAACCCCACCTCCCCAGGCCCAGCCGGGAGTGGGCACTGACCCCGCCACCAGCCGGTTCCGGGCGCCGGCGGCCCAGCTGCCGCAACATCTCCTCGCAGGCGGCGATGGTGTCCAGGAGCTGTCGCTGCCGCTGTTCCACGGCGTCCAGCAGCTGCTGGGCGCGTTCATCTCGGGGCGGCTGCGGGGGTGGCCTCCCGCCGAGCCCCAGCCCCGCCTTCCCACGGTCCACGCCGGCAGCCTCCCTGCCCGGGAGAGAGACGGCGTCAGGGCCGGCGCTGGGCGGCGCGAGGTCGCGGCCCCAACCCACCGCCCCGCGGGCCCGCTCTCACCCCCGTGACCAGCCTGCGCTGGGACCCCACTCCATCGCCGCCCGTGCCACCCAACCACCACCCCTCTGCAGTCCTCCCCTGCCCCTGCGCCGCGCGAGGATTCCGCTAAGCCGAGCCCCGCCCCGTCCCCACCGTTCTCCTTCAAATCGCCTGGGGGTCGCGGTCCCTTTAAGCTGCCCGGCGCGAAGGCGGGGCCGAGCCTCGCGGACCGGAAGTTGAGTTCGTGCGTCACTTCCTCCCGGAAGCAGGTCTGGACGGATGTCTACGGCGCGTCCCTGTGCGGGGCTGAGGGCCGCGGTTGCGGCCGGCATGGGGCTGAGCGACGGTCCAGCGGGCTCTGGCCGCGGCTGCCGCCTTCTGCGCCCTCCCGATCCCGCTCCGGCGCTGCCAGGGGCCCGGCTGTTGCGGCTTCCGGAGAGCGAGGCCGCAAGCCCCGAGCGCTCCGGTTGGACCGAGGCGCTGCGGGCCGCCGTGGCCGAGCTACGCGCCGGCGCCGTGGTGGCGGTCCCAACTGACACGCTGTATGGTCTGGCCTGTTCGGCGAGCTGCTCGGCGGCCCTGAGCTGCGTGTATCGCCTCAAAGGCCGCAGTGAGACCAAGCCGCTGGCCGTGTGCCTGGGCCGCGTGGCCGACGTCTACAGGTGAGGCTGCCCCGACCCGGCCCCGCTGGGGGCGGCACCGCGGGAGGGGTTTCCGGTGACAGCCTTGGGAGACTGAGGCGCCGAGCGCGGGAGGGGCTTGTCCTGGCTCATCAAGGAATCCGGAACTGGAAATTTGTTGGTTGCGCTTAACGCTTGCCAGGATCCGCTCTAGACGGTGGGTCGAAACTCTGAGTTAGGCGAGCATGGCACTCTTAGCGCTCTTGTGATGTACGGAGGGGAAGTCCGTTTCGGAGTAATGTCTTCCAGATAAGACAGTCTGAGGTTGTATTCACGTGTCACGGCGCTGTGGTTTTGTCCCCAAGACGGGCGTGTAGACTAAAAGTCCGGGGTACTCTGTGGAGTCTTCTGCCAGAGTTCCGAGGAAGAGGAATTAGAGAGTCAGGTAGATGCAAAGGAACCCTCTCCAGAATCCGCCTTGAGTCCAGGAAAGGTCCATCAGGGTGATTTGGAGTGAACTTGTGCTCCTTTGCCTGCAGGTATTGTCAGGTGAGGGTACCTAGGGAGCTCCTGGAAGACCTGCTCCCAGGACCTGTGACCCTGGTGATGGAACGCTCAGAGGAGCTCAACAAAGACCTGAATCCCTTTACTCCTGTGAGTCAGATTTGAGCTTTTTCTGCAGTCTGAATCAGCCTCCTTCAAGCCCTTGATGCCTTCCTCACATTCTCTTTTCCTCTTGCTTCACAGCTTGTTGGCATCCGGATTCCTGACCATGCCTTCATGCTGGACTTGGCCCAAATGTTTGCAGGACCACTTGCACTCACTAGTGCCAACCTCAGCTCCCAGGCCAGTTCCCTGAGTGTTGAGGTGAGAATTGGCCCCAGCAGGTTAAACTGCTGTTTCCTCAAAACAAACAAGGCTGACTCTGTAACGGGATTGCCTGGCAGAAGTCTGGGCCTTTGGTGTGTAGGTGAGAAGGTTTCCCGTTTGGTGTTGGTTAGAGGAGGGCATCCAAAGGCAACAATCTCAGATGGGAGCAGGTGGTGCTCTTGTAATACCAGGACAAAGATGCTAAGGTAAGAAAATCTCAAAGTCAGCCTGAGTTGTTTAGGGACACTTAACTTTTTTTAATGATTTATTTTTATTTTATGTACATTAGTGTTCTGCTTGCATATATGTCTGGGTGATGGTGTCAGATCTCCCGAACATGGAATTGCAGACAGTTATGAGCTGCTGTGTAGGTACTGGGAATTGAACCTTGATCCTCTGTAAGAGCAGTCAGTGCTCTTAACTGCTGAGCCATCTCTCCTGCCCCCAGAAGCAAGCTTGCTTGCTTGCTTGCTTGATTGATTTATTTATTTACTTTAGAAAGTGTTGGAATTATTTTATCTTGATAGGCCAAGGGAGAGCAGGTGTATTGTTTTATATCTATAAAAATAGAAAAGATGCTGGGGTGGTGGTGAATATTTTTAATCCCAGCATTCAGGAGACAGAAGCAGCCTGATCACTGAGTTCCAGGCCCCCCTGGTTTACAGAATGAGTTCCTGGACTTCATAGAGAGACCCTGTCTCAAAGAAAAAGAATAGATTATAGGAAATAAAGACAGTTTTGTGAGGGAAGTAGTTGTCAGAGACTTGACAACAGTGCTGAAAAGAATTTGGGGTTTTAAAACATTAGTTCAGTGTTATGTCACATGGCCTTTAAAAGACAGTCCCAACTTCTTGCCAGTTCTCTCTGACCTCTTTCTTTTTGGAGGGGGCATATTTGTTTCTGTTTGAGATGGGGTCCACTCTGTTACAGGCTGGCCTGGAACTCAAAATTAGGATCTTCAGGCCGCCCCAGTTTTGAATCTTGCAGCATACCCGGCTTCACGTAATGTCTGACTCCTGACCTTATTCTTTTATTTTTGCTTGCCAGATAGGCCTGAGACTGGATCATTGCAGTCCTCTGTCGGCTGTGGCTTAGAACAAACGCACAGGCAAACACTCACGTTAGGTGCAGTGAAGTGATGGCTTTCCTGTGCTAGACCTGGGGCCTTGGAAATGCAGGGTCTGCTTTACTTGCTCTTGGTAGCTAGCTATTCATTGTGCCCCAGGGTGGGAATCTTCCCAGAGGAGGAGTAAGTTCTGACCTTGTCAACAGCCCTGGACCAGCACAATCATTGTTTGATTTGTAGCTGGTATTTATGATTCTCACATCGCCAAGACCCTGGCCTAACTGCATTGAAGACTCTTTACTGGGGGCAGAGGAATCTAGCTCTTGTTAACAGGACACCCCGCAGCCCAGGGACTGAGTGCTGGTGGCATGTGTTTGCACAGCCCGCCCTAGATTCTTCTTCATGCTCTGATCTTCACTTCATGGATGTTTAGGATCAGGCGCTAGAGCTTCACTTTAGGGCCCTGGATGAAGTGATTTGTATGCATCCCACAGACATGGAAAGACTGGGCTCATACCCAGCATGCCACTTTTTAGACCTAGGCCTCCCCAGTCCCTGTAGTACTTGGGATTTCCTTCTGTTACATTAAGGTTTTCTTTATGAAACGTGTAACTTAGAGTGCACACTTACGGGGCCTTCAGACTTGGTACATATGGGATCCTGGGTGTTAATTGTGCCCTTGACTTAGCTGCCCATAACTAAGAGGTTTCTCCACTGCTTAAAAGAAGATGCCTCAGTTTAAATGTGAACCGTGTATTCAGGGTGATAATACAGCCATGCCCTTCCTTCCTTTCTTTTCAGGAGTTCCAGGACCTCTGGCCTCATTTGTCCCTTGTCATTGATGGGGGACTGATTGGGGATAGGCAGAGCCCTGAGTGTCGCCTCGGCTCTACTGTGGTTGACTTATCTGTTCCTGGAAAGTTTGGCATTATCCGCCCAGGCTGGTAAGTATCTTTCCTGTGCCATTGGGATATGCGAGGGAGGTTGGAGAAAAGAGAAGCTTTAAAGTACGTACAGATTTTCACCAAGCGGTGTTAATGCATGCCTTTAATCTCAGCACTCGGGAGGCAGAGGCAGGCAGATCTCTTGATTTGAGACCAGCCTGGTCTAAAAAACAGTTCCAGGACAGCCAGGGCTACACATAGAAACCCTGTCTTGAAAGCAAAAACTTGTCCAAAAAAAGTACTTATTTTCATTACCATTTTGCATTGGTTGGGGCCACTAAGGGTCACGACAGAAAGGTAGTAAGTGGGCTGGGACTAAATTTGCTGGCTTTTTAGGATTTGTTGAACAGTGGGACAGTAATCATAAGAGACTACTCAGATTTTGGTGGGCTCGGTGCCCTGAGACGTCAAACTCTTTATCTGTCTTCTGTCTTCTTCAGTGCACTGGAAAACACTACAGCCATCCTCCAGCAGAAATATGGGCTGCTCCCTTCATAGGGGTCCTGTTCATAAAACTTGGGAGGACCCAAGGACCATGCTGGATACTATGTGTCTGCTACTGGTTGGCAAAACCTCATTGGTGAGGTTCCTGGAGCTACATCTGTAGCCTAGCTTTTTAGGCAGCATCCTTGGCTCTGAATCCTGTAGGCCAGCCAGAAACTGCAGGGTTGAGCATTGTACCCAGGGGAAGGTTATATGTACTCTGTAGATTCATGTCAACCATGAATTAAATGGAGGGAAGAACATTCTGGAATGGCCTTATTATTTTAAATGCCCCTTCTCAAACCTCCCCCCTTTAAGTTAAGTAACTTGTACAAAATTAGAATGCATTAAGAGCTGCTTTCTGGGAACAGTGACATTTGGTGTCAAATTAGTTGAAGGCACTAATGCAGTCTAGAAGTCTTAAGACCAATGCAGCAAAGTCTAGGAGCCCAGGCCAAAGCTTTCTGGGTACAGGGGAGTGGTCATTTGGGGAAAATTATTCTAGGAGTCCCACGTAAAATAATACTGAAAAATAAAAATCTTGACTGTTTTCAGCCAGTGACTTTCTTATTTATTGATATAGTTCTATGTTTAATTTATTTAGCTTCACTGTTTATGCAGAAACCTTTTATCTTTGTTCATATGTCTATCAAGTATTTACATAATTATTTTGGGGTATTTGAACTTTTCTGGTTATTAAATATTGCTTCTACAAACAGTTGTAAATGGTTTATTTTTCTTTGATTTCTCGGTCAAGATATTTATGTGCGTTATGGCTATTGATGTAGATTAGCCTTCAGAAAATCTGAGTTTAGTTTCACTGAGGATGCCTGCTCCTTCCTGCTGCCTTGCTATATCCACAGTATATATGCATGGAATAAAATCACCACTGGTTAAATTCAGCCCTTTCAACTAAGCTACAAGCTGGGTGCTCAGCCAGGTGGGGTTTAGTGTCAGTGACGGGGCTGGTTGTCCTTGAAGTGACAGCTATTCCACATCATCCTCCATCTGCATCTATTTCCCAGAGTTAGGGCTCAGCTTTAGCCTGTAAACCAGTCCAGTAGGTTCCAGCGAACATTTTCTTTTCAACAGTCTTAATGAAAATATTCGTCGGGTCTTACTTTTAACAAGCGTCCTTCCTAGTAGCATTAGTTTATTTGTAAGTAAGCACTGGCTTGTTAACTTCCTAGAAATCTCATGTAAACTAGTCTTTCAAGCAGATCCATCTCCATTGTGCTGAAGCTAGCCAGCCCAGCCATACACTGATTGTCACAGACTGACCTAGAGGTCAGCATTTATGAGGGCTGCAAGAGGAATGTGTACTGGCAAACACCATTTCATATTTAATACAAATCACAGTAGCACTGAAAGTGGCCTCCCTGGCCTAGACAGCTGAAAGGAGTGACCTAGTCCCCTCTGCAGCTAAATGTTCATCTGGGAAAGGCTCCGGAGCACAGAGGTATTATCTTGGAGGAAAAAATAGCTGAACTCCCAGGCCTGGGTGTAGCTGCAAAGAGCAAAAACAGCCGAGGTGCTAGCTACCCGGTTACATCAAAAGCAGGATCCTGTAAGCTTTGGGAAGGAAACCTTGCTCAAATTCCCCAGGACCTACCTGACAGTGGGTGCTTAGTAATGAGTGCGGGTGCTCAGTGTTCCTGATAATGGGGCACAGGAGTCTACTGGAAGGACCTTAGGCCTCTTAGAAGTGTCAGACATGGTTCCCTGGGTTCAGCAAGATGTGGGAAGGTAGCTGTCCAAAGGAAGTAAGTGCATGCTAGCTTAGAACCCTGAGACCCTTTTAAGCACAGGGGCTTACGCAGCTCCACAGCTGAAAGCTGAGGGACACGGAGCTTCCTTAAGCCATTGCAGCCACTTGCCCCCCTCCCACTTCATCATGCCTCGCTTCCCAGCACCACCAGTCCAAGTGCCAGCCTCTGTTTTACGTGAGCTAGCTGATCCACCCACAAACTCCCAGTTGCTACTTGGGACTAGTGAGTGCCTATATCCTCAGCTGAACCGCTTGGTGATCTTGAGGTTTGTTTGGGTGATAGTCCATCACATCAGCCATTGCTCCTTTTCCTTGATGAAGTGCTCTGCCCAGCGCCGGGTCAGCTCTAAATACAGGCTGGGCTGGTGAGGCAAGTAGTCCAGATACAGGCGAGTTGGTGTCGTCTTGGGGACAGCTTTCTCAATTTGTGTTCCCTCATGCCACTCATTGAAGGAGGTGATGGAGACTATTTCAGGCCTCACAGTTAGGGCCGCCTGCAGGGCTGTCTCATAGTACTTGCCGTTGACCCTGTTCCGAGTATTGTGGTTGTTCCAGGGCCGAATGCTGGTATCAATGTACCCAGGCCCCACACTAGGGATGAACATCAGGTTGTTGGTATCACAGAAGTTCTTCACAGCTTTCCAGTTCTGATGGGAAGAGCCAAAGGAGAAGCCGTTGGAGGCAAAGTAGGTGTACATTCCGTCGAATCCTGCAGCAAGGATGTCGTGGGTGTGACTCTCCTCCACGAGCAGAGCTATGAAGACCCCATCGTAGGGAGTGTTGCGGACAGAGTGAGGCCCGTTTTGTGTCAGGAGGTGGGCCCAGGCCTCAGGGGATGTCAGATAGGAGTCGTAGATATAAAAGAGTGGGAGACTCTTGCCCATGCTATTCTTATAACGGTAAAATGCACCGTGGGAGCCATACCTGAGGAGCAGGAGGGAGAGGCTGGAGTTGGTTGTGGTAAGATTAGCCACAGGGGAGATCTCTTTCTGTGCTCACAGTACTCTGGGATCCAGCAGTCACATATTGAGCCTATGCCTGCCTCCCTTCTCAGCACCCCCTGACCCTCTTCCCTAAGCCCGTCCCTAAGCCTCTTCTCCCCAGCCTGGCCACCACCATCTTCATCTGAATTTCAGCAACAATCTTCTAATTGGTGTCTAGCCTAGCCTTCATTCCTGCCTTCTTATAGGATACAATCTGACCACCCCTTACCATGACCTGTAAGGACTCCTGTTTCTGGTCTGATCTGACCTATTTTCAGTCTTGCTACTACACATTAGATTCCACTTCTAACTGGCCCTTCTGCTGAGCTTCACGTGAGTTTGCCCCGTCTTAGCACATACCTAATCTGCCGGTTCTCTCTGCCTGGAATTCTCTTCTTTCTCCAGATCTTTGCAGATCTAACATCATCATCATTAATATTTTATTTGATACAGGGTCTCATGTGGCCTGGAGCTCACTAAATAGACCAGACTAACCCTGAACTAAGAAGTTCACCTCCCTCTATCTCCTAATTGCTGGGATTAAAGGCATGTGCCATCATGCCTGGCCAGAGCAGACATTTTTAAAAAACTGGGGGCAGGGATGAGGAATGGATCTGGGAGGAATGGGGAAGGCAAATATGATTTTTAAAGTTACTTTAAATATGCTTTTTAAAAGATCCATTATGCTGGAGAAATGACTTGAAATTAAAAGTCATTGCTGTGCCTCCAGAGAATCTGAGTTCTGTCCCCAGCACCTACATTAGGCAACTTGGAGCATGCCTGGAACTCCAGCTTCCTCTTCTGGCCACTGGGCACGCGCACACACATATGCGTATAATAAAAAATAAACTTTTTTTTTTTAAAGTTGGGGATTGGCCAGGCAGTAGTGCTGCACACCTTTAATCCCAGCACTTGGGAGGCAGAGGCAGGTGATTTCTGAGTTCGAGGCCAGCCTGGTCTACAGAGTGAGTTCAAGGACAGCCAGGACTGTACAGAGAAACCCTGTCTCAGAAAACCAAGGGGGAAAAAAAAAAGTTGGGGATTGAATCTATTGGAGCCAGGGCCTCTGACCTGATGATGCATGCCTGTAGTCCCAGCACTTAGAAGCTTCAGAGCAGGTCCTGTTCAGGGTCACACTCAGCGACATAAAGAGCTCCAGGCCAGCCTAAATTAGACCTACTCATTCCTTTTAGCTTAGCAACCACATTTATATCTCAGTTCTAGGAGCGGGGAAGTCCAAGATCAAAGTGTCTAACAAGGTTGGTCCTTGGTAAGGGCTCTCTCTTGCAGCTGACAGATGGCCAACAAGCTGTACGCTCATACAGAAAGCAGGAGTCAGCTCCTTAGATGTCAGGGCATGTAACCTATCCTCTCAGAGAAGCACACATCACCATTCTAAAGTAATTCCTTGAAGGCTGGACAGAAGGTACCAGCTCACACTCATGCTTAGCAGTCAAAGGACCCTTTTTGGGCACATTCTTAACACAAAAACTTCACTTTGCTTTTTATTGTTTTTATTTTTTATACTACAGATTACTGTGGTTTCTCACTTCTTATTTGGGCTGCACTCCTAACTACTAGGTTATAAGTGCCAAGTTAGAAACTTTGCTAAAGACAGTAACTATATGTGTGGGTACTGGACAGTATTTTAGTGAATATGTTCAAGCATGCATGAACACTTGGATACTAAAGGCTCAGTTATGGCCCCAGAACTAGACCCAAAACTCGGCTACCTGACTCAACCCAGCACCCTCACTGAGAAACAACTTCTTGGAACATGTACTCCAGCCCTGTACTGCCTAGCCTAGCCCTCTATCCCTTCTGTCCCTGCTTCCTTCTAGATCCCCATCTTACGTGTCAATGATGTACTTGATGTTGTCATGGACAGTGATGTCATCCCGGCCCTTGTAGGGTTGGATATGGAAGGCCACCTGCCACAATAGAGGAGTTGCAGGTCAGGTGAACATTCTAGAACACAACACATATAGCTTAATGCCCCAGCCCTGGATTGTAGGAGGGGTTGAGTTCAGGAGTGCCTGGCAAGGATAGGCTCAATAAAGGTTGCCCCTGCCCTTCAGATCAAAAACAAAGAGTGAAGGCTTGTCCGTGTCACACGACAGGGTATCTTGTCTGGGTATCAGTCTGGGTTGCTGCAGGATGGCGTTCAGGTGTCCATCTCTGTCAGCTCCAATCATGAGCACAATGAGACGTGTTCCTACACTCTGACAATAGAAAATGTGCCGTGATCTGTTAAACCTGCCAGAGGTGACCTCGAGGGAAGGGGGCTTCTCGGTCATTTTCCATCCTTCACCACAGAAGTAGGACTGACTTCCCCTGTTGATGTATTTGAGGAAAACGGCCATACACATATCCTTCCACTCAAAGATGACCTTGCTTATGGAGGAGGTTCAGCTGTCCTCTGCTCTACAGAGTGGAGTCTAGAATTCTGTCTGCAGGTCCATTTGGTTCTTGCCTGCCCAGGATCCAAGATCAGGATCTCTAACCTACCCTATATGACTTAAAAGTGAAGGAGCTGAAGAGATGGCTCAGTGGTTAAATCTACTGGCTGCTCTTCCAGAGGACCTGAGTTCCCAGCACACACATCAGGTGACTCACAACTAGCTCCATGGGATTAATGCCTCTGGCCTCTGCAGACACCTACACGTACTCACACAGAGATAAACACAGGAAAAAATTAGAAAATAAAGGTAAATATTAGAACGCGATGCTTATATAGTCTTCCATTTGTCCCCTATTTAGTTTTCTCCAAATTAAAGATGGTAACAGTTAACATGGGCATAGCCTGCTAGACCCTCTTTCAGTATGGGACACTTGCTATGTGTCTGACATCCCTAGCCACCCCACACTAACCTTACAGCAGAGAAGGGGAATTCTCAGCCTTGCAATGGTGGCACATGCCTTTAATTCCAGCACTTGGGAGGCAGAGGCAGGTGAATCTCTGAGTTGGAAGCCAGCCTGGTCTACAGAGCAAGTTTCAGGACTGCCAGGAAGATACGGGCAAACTGTGAGAAACTCCAGAAGAGGAGTAGGGGAAGGAGAGGGCGGAGAAGAAAGGACATTTTCCAGAAAGAGAGAACTCACCTGGATGTTGTACTGATGGGCAGTGTCCAGGATGGCGGGTACCAGGTCATCTGTGGGCTCCCCGTTATCATCAGCCATGCCAGGTGGATACCAGGAGAGAACTAAAACTCCTAAACAGTACAGAAACCCCTTCAGTGGCACTCAGTGCGCCACCTCCCCTCTCCGCAGAGCCTTTCTTATCAGAAATGATCTCCAGCTGCATGATTTCTGAAAACTTCCAGCCAGGAGCCTGCCAGGTTTTTAGGGACAGATCCGAGGCTCAGAGCTCAAGTGGTCTTGGAGCTGTCCACTCAGGCAGTGCTGAAGTGCTGCTGCCAAAGGAACCAGGCTTTGAACGAAGTGCAGCAACGAGTAGCAGACCCAAGGGTAAAGAGTGGCCATGCCACACTGATCTGGAAGCCACAGCCCTACCTCTGAGGTCCTACCTGAAGACAAGTCCTATCCCCGTGCTTCCTATGGGCGAGAGCTCTTGCCTTGACTGACTGCCCATCTAGAAAGCAAGCCTGGACAGAATAGCTATTATCTATTATCTAATAACCCACATCCTAATTATCCTTGTATATGTCCCAGACCCTCCTTGTTTGTTTAAATCCTGCCCCACCCTCCCAAGTGCTGGCTGGCACGAACCACTAAACCTGAATTCTCACCTTGTAGCTCTCCTTCCTATTTTTAAACCACGTCAAGGTATAACAAAATATATCTTTAAAACTTGAGGAATTCGATGACAAAATCTAAATGAAATGAACCTCCCCCCGACCCCCGCAACCCCCCAGCCGGTAATGCAGAAGGTTCTTCAGAGCCTCTGCTGGTTGGGCACTTGATGAAAAACTCCTGAGTTGTGCCCACCCTCAGCCCTGCTAGATGGGCCGTGTAGCTGCTACACTCCCCTGCACTCGCTGTGAAAGCAGAACCCTTCCCAGGCTCTCCTTTGAGCCCCAGAAGGGCCTGGATCCCCAGGCCTCACTCTCCTAAATCCTGGAAGATCAACAGACTTACAGCTGCTCTTTTTACCGTCCCTGCTCGGGATAGCTCTGCTGCATACACCACCAACAACCCAATGGAAAGGTCCTGGGGTTGTTGAGGCTCAGAAAGATCCAGAAGGTACAGTGGAAAATTAGAAGGGGCGGTGGTGTGTAGTGGACCCGGGATGAGAGTGGGAGGTCAGCCTGGCGGGAGAGTGCAACCAGGGACCCAGTGGCTGGGCATCAAGAACTGAGGTTCCGGAAGGAAGGGCGAAGCTAGGGGACAGACTGGCCAGGGGAACGCTGGGACTCACCGATGGCAGCTTCTTTGAGCTGGGTCATGTGCTCTCGTAGCACGTCGGGGTCCCGCGAGCTGTAAGGCCCCAGTTCTGGGTAGAAGCTGGAGCCCAAGTCATCTGGAGGGCTGTGGCGGCCACGCGGGTAGCTGGCCGAGATCTTAGGGTCCCAGTGCGGCACCATGACATGATCCCAGTGGATGTAGTGGCCCTCGCGCCGCGGACTCCCGTACCACGAGTAGTAAAAAGCGTGCAGATCGGAGTAGACTCTCAGGCTCTGCCGGGGCGCGGGATCGGCCTCAGCCGGGCCCAGCGAGGCGCGCGGGGCGGCGGTGCGCGGTGGA